TAGGGGGGGTTGCCTCCAGAGGCTGTCGGAGTATAGTTAACTAATATTTTTATATTTTTATGATAACGATAGCGATCAGGTTTATGTGCGATAAAACCTTGACCGGCTTTAATAATCAAAGGCCTGCATTAAATTTTATGCGGTGTCACTCTCCTGCAGAATCATTTCTCACGGTCGATTTTTGATTAATAGTTAGCTCTAGAACTTTTTCCTTACCTTATATAAGATCCTGCGATAAGAATGGGACTTAAAAAGGCTATAAGGGCAATGGGTATAACGTTCTTAATCAGTAGTTTTATTAAAATTCATATGTTACAGGGACTTCGAATCTCCGCCATTTCCCGAGATCGTCAGATCTAAACCCACTTTAAACGATCGTCGAATCTAAGGGGGGTTTAATTTCACCGGAAAAGCGACAAAATAGATTCAGTATTTGGAACTTTACATGGTGGGATCTAGATTGCGTTACCCTACCGCAATTACTAATCGTGTAACTTTTTTTCTGGCAGGTTCTCTAGATCTAACGAATGAACGGTATAAAAATAATTGGTTTTTTTGTTTCTTGTAGGTGGGTTATAATAATATTTTTTCGCTCGTATATTTTTTACCTGACCATAATTATTTTTTAAAGTAAAGTAATATTTTTTCTAACGGAGATTATGAAACCGAATTTTTACTTATTTTATTTTTTTATTTAGGAACGAAAAATGAGCAGTAATAAAAAAACCACCACCCCCAAGACCAACGATAGTAGCACCCCCAAGACCAATAAGAGTAACGCCCAAACTTCATTTAAACCCAAATCAAAACCTCAAAACAAGCCAAGAGAAAACATACCTCGTAGGTAAACTCTGTATTACATGATTATTTATTACAGTGAAGCAGAAGTAAGTTTTCCATTTCATAAATTAGGTAATACCCTCCAGGAACCTTCGAATGAAGTAGAAGACGACTACTATTTTGATGAAAGAGAATATAGGCGTGAAGATCCTCCTGACCCCCTTTTTAATAATGATATACACTTTGGGGCTGGTGATGCTGATTGTAGTGATCAAGAAAGATATAATAATGGTGAAATTGAATAGTATAAAAAAAAATTATTTGTATTTTACGTTGTCGTCCCGGCAATAATAATTTTTATAAATAAAGAAGTGGGGTCCAGTGACCTCGTCATTTTTTATTTTTTATTTTAACGCGACTTTTTACATGATTTTTTACAATGTAATTTGCGATTAGTGGAGATTATTGAGTTAACTTTATTAACCTATACTATTACGGTTACTATTGGGATTTCAACATCGCGTGTTAATATGCGCTAATTAAATGATCTGAATTTTTATAAGTTTTTTTTCCACTACTTAAATCATAGTAATAGCCTGGTTCATCATCAGAACAAGTGAAATCACCGGCAATTATTTTATTTGTGCTATTACTGAATATATTAGCATCGTCCACATCCTCTTCATCAAAATACACATCATCATGATATCCTGCCTTAGCTGGAGTTGTTTGAGGCGTGGGTGCTGAATTACCTGGAGAATTAGAGATTCGCTCTAATCGAGCAATTTCTTCACGCAAGAGAATGTCGTGGATTGGGTGGTTCGAGTCTATTGATTCATCAGAATCAGAATCAGAGTTAGAGTCAGAGTCAACATTACCTGAATTGAAGTCGTCATCATTGTGGACATTTGCCTTAGCTGGAGTTTCTACATTTGTTGACGTTTTGTTCTGTCTTTTTTTCTCTATCCTAGCCTCTTCTTCCTCAAAAGCTTCCATCAGAATTTTATCAAAATCATCATCATTGTCTCCCTTAGATGGAGCGATTTGAGGCGTAGATGATGAATTTTTTCTGGGACATAATGTCTCGGAAATTTCAATCGCATGATCTGTTACCAGAGGTAATTTTTCCAAAGATCCATAATCTATAACCTCTTGAATTTGCTCATTAGTAAGCTCTGAAATAGAAGTTGCACTATAAGATTTAATATACTTGATTTTATCTAGGCCTACTTGTTCGATAAATTTATAGACTTTCTCAGCTCTCTGAGTTTTCTTGCATAAACTATCTCGTGATACATCTCGAAGTTGTAACCCCATTTCTTGGGATCTCTGTTTACAAAGCAAATTAAGCTGTTTTGTAATGGAATCATACAGTAAGCCTCTTGCCTTCTTTTCACCGAATTTACCTCCACTATTTTCTATAATTCCATTGAGCCGAATTATGAAATCCTTCGCATAGAGGCACCAGCATAAAATTTCTTCCTGATTAGCTCGATTTGCTTTATCTTCAGCATCAAAAGCTTTATCACATAACTGAGCTAGATAATGTGAGGCCTCATCAATGCTAGATTCGTTACCAGAGGTAAGTTTTCCGGGACATAATGTCTCAGAAATTTCAGTCACATAATTTTGTTCTATTGATGAATCTTGTGTAGACAACTCCGGAGCAAATAATTCTTGCTTAAGCTTATTCACACCCTTCCCCTTCTTGCACTTTGAATCCTGTTCACTACATATCTTTTCTTCTGGAGGTACTTCCTCGCCATCTGAATTAGCTGATACTTCCGATGATATGCTATTACATGGCTGAGTAATCGAGTCGAGAACTTGAGGCCTTTTCTCTTCAGGAGATATTGGAAGAGACTCTTGGGCTTGAAGTTTCTTCTCCCTATTGCGTTGCCTAATCTCATCACTAATCTTTTTCTTATGCACTTCATCCAAGAAAGCATCTGTTTCCTTATCTTCTAAGGACGTCTGATCACATTGGTCCATAACGAATATATTAACAGCTGATACCGATTGCTTTGCAATCACCTCTGGAATCGATTCTTCGGGTAATGAAGTATCCATTTCTATAGGTAACTAATTTGCAAGCGAATTGAAGTTAGACAAGCTGTTATTAGAAGAATTGGTTACCTTAGAAACATTATCACTTAGCATCTACCTCTGCTCCACTTTTGTGATCCTATCTCTAAACTCTGCATTTTCAGACTCGAGTTTAGCTGTAACTGTCTTATTTTTCTCTAGTTCCACAATTATGGCGTTAAGTTTGCCAATCTCAACTGAATAATGCGATATAGTTTCCTTCAGCTCCTCAGTTTTGGCCTTAAGCTCCTGTCTCAGTTTCATTTTCTCAACCTCATCCTCAGCAACCTTCTTCCTAAGCTCACAAATCTCAGCTAAGAGCTTGGCATTTAATTTTCTTAATGAATCGTTGGGTTGAGTGCTTGACATGATCAATAAAATTTTATACAAGAATGTGAATTGTTCAATGTTATGTTGTGAATGTAAAGGACTTGCTTTATTAATACAGAAATAAAAAATAAATACAAAGTTGGTTGACTTTGTCAACCTGATACATGACAAATTTTCTATGTTAATACTTTATTCTATTATTCTGTTTTCACCCGCTTTAATAATTTCTGGGATTCGATCTGGCTATCAAACACCCACTTGATTTGCCCAAACAAGTCCTTGATAGGCTCCACCAAGTCATCATGGGTCAATATAGCCTTGTTGATTAGTAATGGAGAGGGTGACAACGAACTTAATAACACTTCCACCTTCCCTTCGCTATTATTGCTCTCAGAGTTAGACGAAACTAGTTTGATTATTACCCAATCCACAGCAGTTGATACAATCCCATACATTACATCTTCATGTAAACATGCCGTATCATAGCTACGTTTTTTAGGATTACGCTGGATGGATGTCTGCAGTTGGATCGCATTTTGTGCAATTCCTTGATTGATGTCCTCTTTTTTCGCCTCGGTGATTGTGATAATGATATTCCTTATCTTTATAACCCAATCAACAGGACCTTTGCCATGACTTTCTGAGATTTCATACTGAGGATAAACCTTTATTTTAGGGTTCCGAAAGTTCAGTTCAGTTCAAATAAGTTCAGTTCAATTTAATTGAACCTGAACTGAACTGAACTGAACT